TTTTTCTGAAGAAGGGTGCAGACCCGAAATGTCAGCTTTCCTGCTCCTCTGATGCTGCTTGGCCTGCTGTGTTCATCCAGCTCTACACCTTGTTATCCCCTATATCAAAAGAATGTTGTCATGTTGAATGGCACCAGGGGGATTCAGTTCTTATTAAAAGTACAAACAAGCACTGTTAATACAATTCATTTGTGCTGTGAAATTTGACTTAGTAACAAAAGCCAGTTGCTTAAATTTATATGAAATGAAATGCCAACATATTTCCTCTGTTTTGCACATTGACAAATGGGACACTTAAATTTTACAAACTTCTCTTACTAGATTTTCAGCATTAGTGAACAAAAAAAAACTTACTCTTGCCTCCAGTACAGTGACATCCATTCCAAAGCTTTGTAGCTGGCGAGCTGCTGCCAGACCCGACACTCCAGCACCAATAATTATCACCTTCCCTGTCTTCTTTGCTATGAATCATAATGTTTTTCCAGTTACTAAACAAAGGAAACACAGATCAACAGCACAGCCCAAGATTATTCAAACTATGAAAGCGTCCTAACTTTAATTAGATATTCTAATGCCTTTGGAGTATTTCCAGTACTTTTTCCTGGATGGCCAAGAACTCTCTTCCCCGTCATCAGTTTCATGACCCCCTCTCTGATCAATGCAAGTTTTTCTGGTTCAACCCAAGAATTTTGTTATTTTATCTGATCCAGAATTGTGCTTCTGACCCCATCATTCCACCATCACCAAGATTATTTACTTCCACCCCTGAAATTTTACCTGGCCCTATTTCAATGCATCAACTGCTGAAATCCTTATCCATTTGATACCCAAACATTACTATTCCAATATTCCCCTCACTATGTCCTCTCTCCATTAAGCTGAAATTCACCTACCTGGATCCTATTTACTCCACTCTTCTACTCACTGATCCACACTGGCTCCTGGTAGGCAGAATTCTTGCATTTTAATCCATTTTTTTTTTGCCCCCACAACTATAACCTCTACCAGCTCTACAAAAGTTCGAGAGGTTCTTCCAATCCTGACATACTTTGCATCACCACCTTTCTCTGAATAGCTATCAGCAACAATGCCTTCTGTTGTGTAGATCCATAGCACTGGGATACCCAACTCTCTTCACCTCTCTCTCTATGGCGTCCTTCAAAATCTACCCTTGTGACCATTAGTTCTAACGTCTCTTCCTTTGGCATGACGTCAAACTATTTGGCAATGGTCTTCTCCTGTGAAGTTTTATTACATTGAAAGGTACTATACGAACGCAAGTTTTACTACCGACAGCAACTGTATCTCCTTGAAAATGTACATCAGTATCATTTAATTATATTTGTTACTGACACCATTGCACCATATGAAAATCCAAGCAACAGTACTCACTTGGAAGTGGTTTCACCCGTTTGTAGATACCAAAGTTAATTAACCCATGGCGCTCCAAGTAGCTGTGTATCCTGTGAACTAGTACAGCATCACCTGAGACAAAAAGATTAACAATGTGTAGCGAGACAAACAGGATTATTGAAACACAAATACACAATCAAGCAGATAAACTATATTCGTGTTTTAAAAATAATCTTGGAAAGCACTGTATGTCGATTTCAAACAAGCTTCTTATTCTTCTGTAAATTTTCAACTCAAATTTCACCCTGGACAATCTAACACACAACTAAAAATAAGTATTTTTCCTCTATATTTAAATTTTGTAAGAAACATTTCTCAGGCCATTTCACATTCTAAAAATGCAACACATTTTCTTTAGTCAAAGATTGATACCTATTTGGACATTGCTCCAAATTCAGGAAAAAGTTCTTGCAAGTTCACTTATAGTAGACTCACTTACTGTTATATGGAGACTCCAGCTGCTGATGAGTTACCTCAAAGGTTAACTGCACTTTAGGGTTGTCCAGCCAGAGCTGCAACTGTTTAAACGGAAAAGAAAAGCAATGAATAATTGCATTTCAAATTAACTTTAAAAATGTGTGCTCATTTGTTAAGAGGACAATGCCAACAGCTACCCACAGATTTCTGCAGGCTGTCATTCAGATGTGTTTCATTGAGATTTCCATGTACTGAATGGATAACTAGTGGGTGAACAACACAATTTCATATTGATTTCATGTTGAGTTTATTCTGCACCTCTTCCATGATAGCACTCAACACTGGAGCCCCCCAAGGATGCATTCTCAGCCCCCTACTCCTTGTACACCTACGACTGTGCTACCAAATTCCAATCAAATGCCATCTACAAGTTTGCTGACAACAACCCCATGGTAGGATGGATATCAAACAATGATGAGTCAGAATATGGAAAAGAGATAAAAAGGGTTTGGTAATGTGGTGCACTGATAACCTCTCTCTCAATGTCAGCAAAACTAAAGAATTGATCAGACTTCAGATAGAAAGGAGAACACGCCCCCATCTACATCACCGGAATGGAGGTTGACAGCATCAAGTTCCTAGGAGTAACAATAACCGACAACCTGTCCCTGGACTTCCCAAGTAGATGCGATGGTCAAGGATGCACAACAACGCCTCTTCTTCCTCAGGCAGCTCAGGAAATTTGGCATGTCCATAAGGACCCTCACCAACTTTTACAGATGCACCACAGAAAGCATACTGTCTGAATGCATAATGACCTGGTATGGCAACTGCTCTGCCCAGCACCATAAGAAACTACAGATTGTTGTGTGCACGGCCCAGACCATTACAGAAGCCAACCTCCAATCCACGGACTCCATGTACACATCTCATTGCTGCAGAAAGGCTGCCAACATCACCAAAGACCCCTCCCACCCCAGTAATGCTCTCCTGCAACCTCTTCCATCAGGCAGGAGATGCAGAAGCTTGAACACACGCACTAGCAGGTTCTAGAGCAGTTTCTTCCCTGCCCTTATTAGACTGATGAAGGACTCTCTAACTTCAAATAATGCTGATCTTGTTAATGTCGATCTTGCCTAGCATACGTCTTGTTTTTCACCCGATGATCGTATGCACTTACTTACTATGGTCTGCCTGTACTGCTCGTGAACAAAGTTTTTCACTGTACTTAGGCAGACATGACAATAAATTACATTTATTCATGACGTACTGTTTATAGTCAAGGGGCAGAGTAATTAAGAGAAAATCCAGATTCCCCCATTTAACGGTACCAGTCCATATTCCAGGACTTGTTGTTCAATAATGTCCTAGCCTTGCCAATATTTCCCACATAAAAATGGGGTCATTAATATACTCATCCATTTTACTACCACAAACTATTAGTGGAGACAGATTTCCACAGCATTCAGATTTTTGAAAGGGGGTGTTGGTGGTGGTGGTGGTTGGGGAGCCGGGTGGAATTAGCAATATTCCAGAACTGCAATTAGACAGTCTTAATAAAAATATATGACCAAGGAACAAGAGTAGGCCACTCTGCCTTCGAGTCTGCTCCACCATTCAATAACTCCTAGAGAATTAAATTACTCCAAGAATTTTAAATTTCTTATATTCTGTCGAGACTTCCATCCACTGCAGGTTTTCTAAGTGAGATTTCTGTTCTGTAGTAGCTAATTGGTAGAGACTGCGTGCTTTGATTAGCTAGCAACATTATTGCTGAATCATACAATCGTCAGCATGACAAACCAGAACAATCCTGATCTTTACACAGCAGCAATTCATAAATTCTTATGGAAAACAATTCCATAGTTTCCAATAATGATCACTGATGGTATCTTTAGTAGGCTGAAAATATTCACTATTGCAATAAAATGGCAATTTATTCCAGGCTACATGACAACAACTTTTTCTGGCTAGTTATCCAATATCATGGCAAGATGCCCAAGAGAGCAATGCTGCTTAGCTGCATATTTTCCTTCCTTCTCCACCCGACCAATTCAGAAAATTGACTAAAAGCAGACAAAAAGGTAGAGAGAAGTCGAGATAAAGGAAAAGGCAACATAAAGTTGATCTTTGTTTTCGAAAGAAAGGAGTCTGTGCAAATATGTCTCAAATCGCTAGCTTTCACTTTCGACATGGTTTAGTTCCCTCTACTTATCAATCGTTATCTCATGATAAGGTTAGAATAATCCAACAACAAATATCGGCTGCAGAGTACACAATGCCACAGAAGATTTTTCTTAAAAGCAGAATATTAAGGTGTATGACTCCTTGAAAAACCTACAAATCTTAAATAGCTATTTAACTGGTTTGGCCCATTGTGATGGTCTTGTATTCAGGTCTGGAGATTTTGCATTCTTGTAAAGTTTATGGCAGAATCTTGGGCACTGTGAAGATGACACCAGTTTAGCTCTTTGAAAGGCAAACAATGACGAAGGTTATGACTCCTACTTACCATACAGCAGAATCTGAAGTTCCCTACTGACATTTTCAGGGCTGTACGGAATGTGCAAGAAATAGCTCTGACTGCAGTTGAGCGATTTGCTGACATTGTTCAATGCAGCTTCTCATACAGACACATGCCACACCCAAGTTATGACAGACAATGGGTACATCCGAGTTGTGAGGAACTTAGCCCAGGGCAAAAGAAACACAATCCAAGCAGATTGTACTGTTGCTTCAGAATTCACACGTAACATATGAAGGATTAAACCTTATCCACACAGTAATGAGCCGAGAAATTCCATTCGCCATAGCTGGAGTTTGGAGATATTCACAGAAACAGAATGTTGGTGCAATCATTCACCTTCACTGAAATAATAACAGGAAATGCCAAACCTGATTTCAGGTTTCAAACAAGTATTGTAGCATTGGATTCAGACTTCAATCCATTTGGATGTCACTTTCTCTTGAAGGTGAATTACAAATTATCTCAACCAACCTGTTTATTTAAGAACATAAAGAAACAGAAGCAGAGATAGGCCAAATGGCCACTGTGACCAGCTCTGTTGTCTGAGTCAATTGTGTTTCCTTGTTGTAAGTACTTTATAATAATCTGAAGTATCAAGCTAGTTTTGGGATTTGTTTGCTGCACCATTAAATACAACTGAAGAAAATTGTATGATATTTTATCGCTTGTACAGTATTTTGTAGTATGACATCAACAGTACAATGTTTTATCTATCACAGATTTCTAACTGATCAAAACTCAGCTTTTCCTCCAACAATCTAGCATACTCACAGCATCAAACCAAGTCAAGAGCTATACTTGCACTCCAGCAAACTTAAACTTGTAACCTTGAGGAGTGAATAGGTTAATGTGCCACTTGATAAACAACCACATTTTCTAACCACAGGCTATACAACTGATGTGTTACAGGATGCCCATCATATTTTTCCTGACCTCTCTGACAGGCAAGATGTTGCAAGACCATACTTTTACTGACAAAGCTAAAACTAGAAATTAGATTTAATTCCTTAAACTGATACTGCAAATGTTACCGATACCTAAAAAACAAAGTGCTTGATTCTTAAGTAATTTAACTAAATGTTTTGAAGACTTACACAGGGAACATTTCTCATCTTTCAACACTCACTCATGCCGCACAAGATGTATGGTATAAACTTGATTAAACTGGATATACTATAGTAAAAGCAAAATACCATGGACACTGGAGATCGGAGTTTCTCCAGCACTTCCTGTTTTTATACTGCTATATTTTTATACTGTTTTACCATGCTCAGAGATGTCCCATATTTACTTTGAGGAGTTCTTCTTCAAAAGGACACTGTCTGCTTCAAATCTATTGATCTGAGAGACATTTATCCTCTCAGTTGGCAGGACAACTGCTTTGTGATTCACAGTGATGCTAACAGCATGGGTTCAATTCCTGCTCCAGCTGAGGTTGCCACAAAGGATTCTCCTTCTCGACCTGTCCCCTCACCCGAGGCATGGGTGACCTTCAGGTTAAACCATCATCAGTAATCTCTCTCTAATGAGACAGTAGCCTTATGGTCTGGTAAGACTATGGTGACTTTACCTTTATTGACTGATGGCAGTAATTTCCTAAGAGATTACCAAAGAGTCACCGACTACTAATCATTTAGTGGCAAATGTGACTACATCATCATTTCAGAAGTATTAATTCTTTGAAGCACTAATAACAGAACTGACTAGAAAAAGTCAAAAATGGATAGAAATGTCCTCTAACACATGTAACTACTTAACAATTGGCAGCACTAATGGAGTGGCTCTACACAACATCAGCAGAGTACACTCTGCTCATTTCTAGGTGGATGAAAAGAATACTTGCTGCAATTGATAAAGGAGAGATATGTGAAAAATACTTGCTCTTTTATGTTTTCCATGTATGTCATAGTGGCATGACACTCTGCCTCCCATGTTGCATCTCATTTAACCAGTTAGGAAGATGATAGCTTCAAAGTTTCTAACTGTTTTTTTTTTTTTAAGTTATCTAGTGCGTGTGTTTTGTTTTGATTTCCCATCCAGGAACCCAGAATCTTACTGCAGCAACTAAACGCAGGACATCTGGAAATTAAAGTAGACAAACTGTCAAAAGTATCCTCCTAATAAGTGTTAAGACTTTTAGCACACAAGATACAACGCTGTCATTTAAAAAGACAGAAATAGAGGGGTTCCTCTTTCCCTTCCCGCACAAAAAGAGTATGCAGCAAATGATTTAAGAAATTATCTTTTTAATACAGAAACTTACTGTGCGGTTTCTGATGTATAGAAACACCTTCTGGGTCTGTGCAGGACCACTGATAATGTCAGGGAAACAGGCTGCTTCCTGTGAAGTCATGCGATCGTGAGGTAGGCGACTCTGGAAAGCAGCACCCTCAACACCTGATAAGAATGAACTCACAAAATTAGTGCAATAAAACTTTTAACCTAGGGCCGTGAAGAAACACGAGATAAACCTTGACAGCTTCCAATTAAAACCAAACTGTCATCGGTCATTGTAACACCACATCAGAGTTGTCCGTTCTTCCCATGGACGTGACTGCTCACCCTAACAAACAAGAATCCCTTCCATGTGCTGATCTCCATCACTGCCCCTGGAAACTGTCCTAAACAACCGCCAAAGATTAGACCCTGATCACCAGGTTCCCACCCACAGATTCAACTTCAGCTGGAGAAGTTTCAGATCCCACAACCCACAGTTGGTCAACACCTTCCTTCCTCACAAATACTACCTGCAACATAAAAAAATTAATCACAAAATTAAAATTAAACCAGCGCACAGAACAAAAAAAATAAAAAAAAGTAATTTAAAAAAATACATACCTGCGATCGACCCTGCCAGATTGATGTTGCTCCAATGCACTGCGGGAACGAACGTAAAAACATTCACACGCATGCGCACACTACTAGTTTCCCTAATTTCCGCGGTCTCGTATTAAAACAATATCTTAACTTTAACAAGAATATATTTGCTTATTGACATTTAATGTCTGGCAGACAAATACAACAGTAAAAGCACTGAAAGGGTTGCCAGGGCAGTTACCTCAAGCCACTACAGTTTGGTTATTATCAGCTGCATCTCCCTGCATCAGGATCATTCCATGACTAATATCCCAGTAACCCTTCCAAGACCACTAATTATGTTACTAAATCTTGAATTTCCAGTCCCCTTTTCTACAAACAGTGCCTTCCACTCCTCCCAAAATAGATGATTTAAATATAATAATATTGGAAACTCATAAGTTATCATATCCAATCCAACTTGGGGTTAATTGTATAATTGGTCTGTCTGAATTTTTTTTAACTGATTGTTGCATCAAAAGTCCTCTAATACTAGTATTTACAGAGGAGCTGTATAGTTTAAAATTAAGACTCAATTAGATAATTAGGTACAAGATTTAGAGAAACAGATTGCAGAATATAATAAATTGGTTTCTTGAAAAATATATTTTCTATACCAAATGTACACAATTTACCGGGTCTATATAAACCTAAATTAGAATATATATTCTGTAGATATTTAAATAATTAAATAGATATTAATAGATATTTATAAGCAAAGGTGGATGCTATAACTCCATATTGGAGTGTGGACCTGAAACAATACAGATCAGGAAGCACCAAAGCTTCAACATCTGGTCTGGTCTGCCCTTCCAAACTTAGTTGGTATCAACTGAAGTAACAGTAGTGGTATTGGAATGTTGAGGTCAATTCTTCGAGTTTAGGAATTGAGGAAAGGGAAGCAGGAAAATTCAACCATCATTTTCACTGCCAGTATTATCCTATGATACTGCCAATGGCAAGTAAATGTAATCATTAAGTACTGTGAAGTTGAGGCAATGTAATTGTTCTCTCTACATTCAAGCAGCCTGCTAATGTTTGCAATCTAGGCTTACAAATAAAGAATGGCTTTTAAACCAAGTTACGATAGGTTGTCAGTGTCTGTTAAATTGCACCCCAGAAACAGAAGGAGTAAGCAAAGAAATGGAAAGGGGGAAAGTGAAACCTCATGAAAACAAAATTACATAAAGGTGCAAACATGGGCTTACAGTTCATCAAATCTTAACCACTTAATATTAATGCATACTTCTGAAGTTTGACTGAGGCTCTTACAGTATTGTCGAGCTGGATGAACTCAACGTTTTATATGGTTTCTAAAATACACAGCTGATTTGTTTTTTTGAAAGTGCTCATCAGGAAGCTTTACATGGTGTGTATATATTCATTTTCCATCATTAGCAGCAACAGATTTCCTGCCAATGTCAAGGTTTAAAAACACCATTGACCTACACTCTCCTCTCTTCTCAGATGAAATTCCCACATCTCAATTTCTACACCGCCTAAAAGAAGCTTGCTTTATTTTTTCATGTCATTCCCCCTTTTACCAGCATTACCTCTCACAAACGTCCTGTCCCAACCATAGTTTACTTGAATATTACCCCACATCTGGGAAAGCACCTCCTGTAATATGATTACAATCCTAAACAGAATACTAGAAATCACCTGTCTTTGGATCTGCAATCATGCACTTGCTTTTAGCTTCCAAGTTTTATTCTGTCTATCTACATCCACAATCATATTCTTCTAATCCAGCTTCTTCCATTTACAAGTGTCGAAATGTGTTGTGCTAAGTAACCTTTCTACTCCCAATACTTATTGTTGAAAGGAGGACTGACAGACCACGTTCTGCTCTAACTTTCCCAGTACCTCAAAACTGTTTACCCTTCTAGGCACATTCATTCAATCTTCCCTTCCTCCAAAAGTTTACATGGTATACAGAATATAGGACACTCAAATATAAAAACAGTAATTAAAATCAAGATATTATGACATTCAACAAAGGTGGAGCAAGATTAACTTGGTTATTTTAATCTTAAAACTAGATTACAGAATGAAATCATAACCAGGCATGTATTTTCTCACTTCTATACCTTGGTTATGCATTTTACAAGCCTTCACTGGGGACATCAAGTTTTAGTGGCAGGAAATTCAAAAGGTGACCTGCTGATAAAGTTACTGTTGACAAAAACTACATAAGAGCCAAGCAAAGGGGAGGAAACAGATACACTGAAATCAACTGAAGGTTGCGAAAGGGGTGACAGCCAACTTCCAGGACAGGAAACTTTTAATCAAGAGTTAACTACCAAGTTGTCTGTCCATGTCTGAATTTAGGACTCAACACAAAGCAGCTATTGATGAACTAGGCATCAACCAGCCCTACAGAGTCAAAAGGAATCCTCCAGAGAACAGCAGCTCAAACTTCCACAAGCTTCCCTTCCTATATATGGAAGAGAAGTTCTGTCATATGCCAATTGCAAACAGACAGAGACCATCAAGGAAGCCAGTGTTGAAAGGAAAGATCATATGATCATATTATTTAGGAACAGAGGAGGTCATTCAGCCCCTCATGCCAGGTCTACAATTCAATGAGATTGGCTGCTGGCTATATGTTTTAAAACATATAAAAAAACTAATCAAATATAATTATGTGTCTTGGAAGATTCAAGTCTGACCTTTGTGGGCAATCGGAGGTGGTTTCCCATCAGAACTGCACACTCATACAGCCCAGATTGTGTGCAGAAGATACATCATTGAACTTTGTAAGGAGCAAGACGGAAGCTATGTGTCACACATCTTGACAGTGAACAGGTAAGCCAGCAGGAGGTAGATACCTGCATTTCTATTAACTCCAACTACTAACTGAATTGTACCAAATTCACTGTTGTCTAATACAAATTTTAATTTGCAATTTTGACTTGCATTGCATTCCAGAGCAGAGCAATTAGACTGCAGAAATTACTTTTACATGTAGAATTTTATCAGATTCTAAAAGGAAAATTTGGGTTTTGTTACTTCTCAGTTTCAAATAATGGAGAATTTTACATCCAGTGCATACTGAACGTCTTTCAGTTTGGTGGGGGTTTCTTCAAACCCTCCCCATCTCACAAGATAATCAGCAGTCTGAGTAAATGTCACTTACCAGATGGTTCTTCTGGATCACTTTCAATTTCCTCTTCAGGTGGAGGTGGCTGCGGTGGTGGCACCTGCTTCTTTTCTTTTTCAGCCTTTGCATTGCGTTCCTCTTCTGAATAATATTCATCTTCAGATAGGTTTGCCAGGCTCTCATCCATCTCTCTGTACTCCACCTATAATGAGTATTGCAGAGAGAAAAAGGAGTCCTTAGCAGCAGGTCAATTCTCTCACACATTGTTAGTGACCATTCAGAAAAATACAAACTATATATTTTTAACTCCTGTACCAGTGTTCTCTGACCACGTGTGTCTTTGATATGAGACAAAAGGTTAAGAGGTTTCCATTGCAAAAATACTGCTCCACATTTTGAAAGTGAATCTACAATGAGTCATTTTGCTGTACACTATCAGCACAGATCAAATTACACAGTGCAGAGGGAGACCACTTGGCCATTGTGCCAATGTCAGCTCTTTGAAAGAGCATTCAAATAATCCCACACCTCTGCTTCTTTCCTAGAGTTCAGCACAGTTTTCCCCACTGAGCAATGATGCAATTCATTTTAGAATTTACTCTTTAACCTGATTCTACAACCTTTTCAGACAGCACCTGCTAGATCACAGCTCACTCAGCTGGAAATAAGTTTAACATGATAAATGTCTATGGCAACAACATATGTGTTGACACAATGTTAAACCAATAGTTTCCAATCTCAAGAGTTGCTGCCAATTTATGCTACTGTCATTTGTCTCTCACAATGGTATCTGGTACCTTTAGGAACTCACTGGACTTGTATATTAAATTGCCCAGTATTACCGATTCCAGATTCTCATTACCTTCTTAGGAGGGGAAAAAAGCCTTTCCTCACATTCCCCTCTAAACTTCCTGTCCCCTCACTTTAAATCTATTCCCCTTGTCACTGATCCCTCCACCAAGTGAAACGTTTCTTTCTGTCTACCCTGTCAATATTTTATACATCTCAATCATATTCCACCACCAGCCACCCGCCCCAACCTCAGTATCCTCCAAGACTCCTCTTGAAAACAACCCCAGTCAATCCAATTAACATCCCAGGCAAGATCCTGGTTAATGTCCTCAGCACCCTCTCCAATGTAATCACATCCCTTCTATAATGTGGATTCCTGAACTACACACAATACTTTAGCTGTGGCCTAACCAATGTTTTTTACAAATCCAGCATAACCTCCTTGCTCTTAAACTCTATGCCTCAGCTAAGAAAGACAAATATCCCATATATCTTAATTACTTCATCTACCTGTCCAACTACCTTAAGGGACTGGTGGACATGCACACCAAGGTCCTTCAAATCCTCAGGGCTTCACAAAGTCCAACTGTTCATCACATATTCCCTTGCCTTGTTTGCCCTGCCCAAGCCCAGCACCTCAGCTTAAGTGGTTTGAATTTCACTTGCCACTGATCAACCCATCTATATCCTGCTATAATCTTACACCACCCTCTTCATTATTCACTACACCACTAATTTTTGTCCAATCCATCAACTTATACTGATAACCTTCCTACATTTAAGTCCTAATTACTTGTTGATTGCATCATTCAGTAAGAACTCAGATACCCCACTGCCCTCGGCACACCAATCTGACACTGCACTGTCAGTAAGCTACTGTACCTTCACAATGGAGTTGAAGAACACAAGAAAAAGTCTGACATGTACAGCAAGATGTTCCACCCACACAAGAGTTGGTCCCATTACTTCACCCTTGTTTTAAATAGCTCCAAATGTTTTGTCAAAGAAAACTAAACTTAGAAAAAGTAAGAGTACATTTCTGACATTAACAATTTGAATGAATAGAGATTGAAACAGAAAAAGTCAATCTGAAGAGTCAAACTGGACTCATAACATTAATTGTTTCTGTCTCGACAGATGCTGCCAGAACTGCTGAGTTTCTCAAACGTTCTCTGTGTTAGTTTCAAATTTCCAACATCTGCAGTATTTAACTTTTATTACAAGCAGAAAGTGCTGGAGAAACTCTGCAGGTCTGATAACATCGGGGAGGGAGAAACAGTTGACATTTCGAGTCTGATATGACTCTGCTTCAGAACAACTGTTTCTCTCTCCACAGATGCTGCCAAATCAGTCTCCACCATTTTCTGAATTTATTTCAGAATTCTAGCATCCACAGTATTTTGCTTTCATTTAAATGAACAGATGTGTGAAAGTGTAAATGCATCATATCCTAATTTTCCAAACCACAAAGTGTGAAGAACCATGACAGTAATCCTGTTTCACTTGTCATTGTTAGGCACCATGATAAAGCAGCCCTCTTCTTTTGATTTTTAAATGATGGTGTAGTATTATTATGAAGGAAAAGCAGTTTTCTGCTGCAATTAAAGCTTCTTTAACACATCATTTGAAAAATATAAATCATTACATACAGGACGACTGGATCAACATTCTGCAGTGTTGCCATTTTGGACACATGGTACAACACAATTTAGCACATAGCCTTGCACTGGCTCAAAATTATATTGCTATAGACATCATGTTATATTGGTGGGACATCTGTAACTTTACCCACAAAAAATCAAGACAAGACAAATTTATTTTAAGTTATGCTTTCAATAGGTACAAGAAACTAGCTTCTGAGATTTGGATAGTTCTATCTAATAGATGGAGAGGAGTTGGAGGAGGGTGGTATGGTGATCCATGGCCAAAGCATGGATCACACAGCTTACATAGCAAGAATCCTATAACAACGTGAAAATTTTTTTTGGCATTCTATGTCTTACAAATTGAGGAATAGCTTATTAAATCTATGTCACTCATAGCTGTTTACGCTAAACATATTGTTTGAATTGACAAAAATTCAGAACTCATCAAGATTCACATTTGCAGGTAAACCCAGGGATTCCATTAGCATTTCACAATATTCAGATACATTTCAGAGAGAATTTAATGCAAAACTTGGTTACAAAAAATTCTAAAAGATTCCAAGTGTAAATATTTGCACGATATGTAAAACCTGGAAACACACGTTGGCCCAGAGTCAAGATAGACAGAATGCAATCAATGGACTTTTACAGTGGGTTTGGTATTCCAAAACCTGACTGTTCTATGCAAGCTAAGGATTTGGCAAGCTTATTTGAACTAATGGTAACATCTACTGAAAAGTAAATGTGATGACAGGAATGCAGAAACTAATGTTAATGTTAATGTTAAGTAATTGTCCCTGCTCTGCAGATTACAATACCATCAATCCAGAGCGCAGAACAAAGACATTGAGCACTTAACTCCTAACACAAAATATTGAGCGGCTATCATCCCACAGTTTACCTGAAGAATATAAATACGAACAAATCACAGATATAATCAGTCATCTTGTGTCAAAAAAACTTATTTGAACATTTGTTGAAACTACAATGGGAAAAAAAATCCAACCAGGTTTGTAGGGAAACAAACACTGCCAATCCCAGCGTGAGAATTGATTTTAAAAGGGCAATACGTCAATCTTGTCTTTTATCTATCCCACAAAAAAGGGAATCCCTAAAATTGCTTCTTCTTACAATGTTCCTTCAAACATGCCTCTTTTTAATTGTTTAATATATGCATCAGACCAAGAGGACAAAGCCTGAACCAGAGAGAGACACCCTTGAAATGCCAGTTTCAGATGTGAAAGCTCAAACAAAGAGAATGGCAAGTCCCACAGCACAACTGCTGTTCACAAGTCCCCAACCATTCCTTCCAACAGTAAAAAGGAGACACACTGCATGGAACATAATTGAGTGGTAATAATAATAATAATAATAATAATAATCCACATTTGCAACCATGTGGAGAATGCAACAGACACAAAAGGAATGGATCCCATCCTTAGGGTGGGCAACACCCTTACCCCCTGCCCCCACAGAATGACAATGAGGAGATACCTCTCCTCCATGCCCCATACCATGTGTGTCGTTTTAGTCGGGAGGGGTAGGGGGGTCTCTCTCTCTCTCTCTCTCTTTCTCTGTCTGTCTAACTCTCCCTCCCTGGGGCCTTACTTTAGCTCGCTTGCGTTTGCTGGTCCTCCGGCCGTCCGGGGTCTCTGCCGTGCCTCCCTCCATGGTGCCCTCGTTGCTGCTGCTGCTGTGGGGAGACGCTCGCTCTTTCTTCTTCGGGGTCCGCTCGGCGGCGGCCGCCGCCGCTGCTAAGGCCAGGCCTCCTCCACCTCCACCACCACCACCTCCCTCCGCCGGCGCCTCCAGACCCTCGGGGCCGGAGCTCGGCCTCTCCTCATTCTTCTTCGCTGCTGCTGCCGCCGCTGCCGCCGCCGCCGACAACATCATCATCGTCGCCGTTGCTGCTGTTGCTACTGCTGCTGCTGCTGCTGCTGCCGCCGCCGCCGCCTCCCCCGGGGGCGCCCGCCGCACTCACCACCACAACAACACCCTCCCCACCCCCCTACCACCACCACCACACCCACACCCACACCCACACACCCACACCCACACACACTACCCCGACAACCAAATCAACACCCCTACACCCACCCTCACCGTCACTAACCCCCTCCCAAAAAAAAATCAAAACCCGATCCACGATCAACCGCAACTGTTTGCCGAAAAAAAAACAGTAAGGGTATGAGCTGGGGTGGGGGGGAAATTATTTTAAAAATATAAATTAAACACAAACCCCAATACAATCGATTGATCGCCTAACGCCGAACCAACCTATTTTGGTTTGCGGAAGCACCCGCCCTTTCCCTATCCCGATTGGACGACCACCCCCGATTCCGGTCGGCGACTGGCGTGTCGCAATGTCTGTCATTTTGATTGACAGCCTCGTCTCCGGTTGTTTGTGGGGGGGGTGAAATACAGGAAGGTTGCGTTGAAGACACGCTGTGCAGGGTCTACGTCAGCGCGTATAGTGGCACATAATGGCTTTGTTCCATATGAAGTAGGTATCTGTGCAAATGGAGACCCATTGGTCAGGCGCTGACCCCACAGTGAGATATTTTCCAATCAGTCTCGTCAGTGATATTGCTATGTACCTCTGGACTAGAACCAGGTTCCTCTGGCTCAGAGGTAGGGAAACTACCACTGCACCAGCCTTTTTTTTTTAATCAACCTGTTCAGAGATTTCACTACATTCCTTTGGAGCAGGTGGAATTGAACCCAGGCCTACCTGTCCAAGCGTAGGGACACTACTGAGTTCTGAGGCAGGGTCACCACACCTGAAACGTTAACTCTGATTTTTTTCCTTCACAGATGCTGCCAGACTTGCTGAGCATTTCCAGCAACTTTTGTTTTTGTTCCAGACGGGGAGACTACTGCTGTTCCACAAGCATGACTCTCTCACTGTGCGTATTTTTTAAAAATTTAACCTGCTCTTCTACTTGACTTTTCAGAGGTGTTATTACACATCTCTGAAGTAGGTGGGGCTTGAACTCCAGCTGCCTGGTTCAGGGGTAAGGACATTACCACTGTCCCACAAGAGACCCTCAATGTAAAGCTTACTATTTTTATTTATTTAACATGTTTTTCTAAACAACCTGCTTAGCGATGTAATATTGCAGCTCTGGAGCAGATGATAGTTGAACCTGGTCCTCTCAGTCCAGGGATAGGGACACTACCACTGTACTAACTGTCCTAGGTCTAACCATCTTCAGCTGATTTATCAATAACCTTCCCTTCATCAGAAGAGGTGATGTTTGCCAATGATTGCACAATTCATTCATTGCTCCTGCAATATTGAAGCAATCCATGTCCAAATGCAAGACAATGTGGACAATATCCAGATTGGGGTTGAGAAAAGTGGGAAGTAACATTTGTGCTAAACAATTGCCAGGTAATGACCTTCTCCAGCAAGAGACAATTGAAGCACCAACCCTTGGCATTCAATGGCATTATCATCACTGAATTCCCCCACAATCAACATGCTGGGGGTTTACCATTGACCAGAAACCCAAGTGGAATAGATCAAGGGAACGTGTGTAACTCATATCCTAACTCTCCAAAGCCTGGCCTCCATCTACAAGTACATAAGAACTAGGAACAGAAGTAGGCAATTCAGTTCCTCAAGCTTGCTCTGCCATTTGACACAATCATGGCTGACCTCAACTCCATACAAAGGCACAAGTTAGGAGTCTGATGGAATATTTCTCACTTGCCTGGATGAGTGTACAACATTCAGGGAGTTTGACACCATCCAGGAGTTAGCTACTTGTTTGGCTTCACAGCCACAAACCTCCAATACACCAACACTTAGTAGCAGCACCTTGTGTACAATCTGCAAGATACACTGCAGAAATTCAGCAAAGATCCTTAGCATCTTCCACATCCACAACGACTTCCATCTAGAAGAACAAGGATGGATGAGAACACCACCATCTGCAAGCTTCCCCCAACCACTCCCCATTCTGTCTTGGAAATATATCACCACTCCTTCACTGTTGCTGGATCAAAATCCTGGTATTCTCTCCCTAAGGGCCAATTGGGTAAACCGCAGCATTGCAAGAAGGGAGCTCACCACCACCTTCACAAGGGCAACTAGTGACAGGCAATAAATGCTGGCCCAGCCAGCAACAATCACATGCCTGCAGCCCAGGTTCTCCGCTGTGCATTCAATTTAAATTGTTTCTTAAATTCCCCGGGAAATCAAATGGAAAAGAAAAATTCACAGCACTAACACTCCACACGGCCCATCTCCATAGACAAGTGGAGCAATCTATTCAGTCCTTCAAGCTGCTTTACCATTCAGCATGATTATGATTGGATCATCCAACTCAATAGCCTATTTCTGCTTTTCCCCATATTCTTTGATCACTTTAGCGCTTAGTGCTATATCCAACATCTTCTTCAAATCATACTATGATTTGACCTTGATTGCTTTCTGTGGTAATGAACTGAATTTACAAAAAAAAATCACCAGCACAAACACTCCATATGGCCCAACCCCAAAGAAATTGGGAGCAGGAGTAGACCATTCAGTCCTTCAAACTTTCCGCACCATTCAACATGATCATGGCTGATTCTCTATCTCAGTACCATATTCCCCATACCCCCTAAATTCCTTTAAAATCTAACAAAAAACTGTCTCTTGAATATATTCAGCAACTTGGCCTCCACAGCCTTCTGTGGCTGAGAATTCCACAGGATTGTTACCCTAGGAGTGAAAAATTTCTTCCTCATCTCAATCCTAAATGGTGGACGTCATATACTGTGAATAAAAGTGAAGCTATGCATTTTTGTAGCACAAACAAGAAGGCAGATTATTATCTGAATGGCGATAGTTTAGGAATGGGGAGATGCAACAAGACCAGGGTTTCCTTGTACACCAGTCATTGAAAATATTGAAATATTTTGAGTAATTATGAACCCTGTATTGAAGGAATCCTTAGGCCTTGGAGTGGTCCAGAGGAGGTTCACAAGAATGATCCTGGGTGAACTAACTCCACAAACATTGGCATCCTGTTACCAAGTCACCCTTTATTTACATGTGCATAGTACATGACACTGGCCCAGCTGGATCAGAATCAGCTCTGAGAGTGAAATTGAACCCCTGACACTCCTGTTTATATCTGTCAGCCAGGACTCCCTGATTGAACCAGATTAGCATCCCCAATCAGAGAACTCACAATTCTATGAAATCCACCTGGCTGATTGCATTCCAATAACTAACACCAGGAATGAAGGGCTTGTCATATAAGGAGCAATCTGGGTCTATACTCGATGGAGTTTAGAGGATGAGAGGGAATCTCATTGAAACTTACAGAATACTGAGAGGTCATGATAGATATGGAGAAGATGTTTCCACTAGTAGGAGAGACAATGACCTGAGTACACAACCTTCGAGTGAAGGGACAACTCTTTAGAACTGAGATGAGGAGGAATTTCTTCAACCAGAGGGTGGCGAATCTGTGGAACTCATTGCCTGAGGAGTCTGTTAAGGCCAAGTCATTGAGTGTCATTAAGACAGAGATAGGTAGGCTCTTGATTAGTAATGGTATCAAGAGTTAACAAAGTAAGTGCAGGAGAATGGGATTGAAAAATATATCAGCCATGAACAAATGGTGGAACAGACTCATTGGGCCGAGTGGCCTAATTTTGCTTCAAAATCTGAAGGTCTCGTGGTCTAAGCATTCAGGCACAGCAGGTGATGGAGAAGACAAATGGCCTTTATACTGAGAGGATTCAAGTAAAGGAACAGTGATATCTTTCCACAATTATGAGGGACTTGGTGAGATAACTCCTGGAGGCAACACTTGGTCTCTTTATCAAAGAAAGGACGTTCTGGCTATGGAGGGTATGTGACAAAGTTTTGTGAGACTGATTCCTGAGGTGTCAGAACTGATGTATGAAGAGTGACTGGGAGTGTTAGATTTATTTTCATTGCCATTTAAAAAAATTAGGGGGCATCTCATGGAAACTTAGAAAATTCTAACAGAACTAGACAGAGTAAACATTAAGAAGAATGTTCCCAAAGACAGGGAGGACCAGAACAATCTACGGAGAAAGTTAAAAGGTGGATAAATCTCAGGGTCCTGATCAAGTGTATCCCAGGACTTCGTGGGAAGTTACAGAAGAAATTGTGGGGCCCCTCACAGAGATATTTGTAATGTCTGTAACAATGGATAAGATGCCAGAGAAATGGAGGGTGCTAATGTTGTGCCCTTATTTAAGAAAGATTGTAAGGAAAAGCTGGGAACTATAGACCTGTGAGCCTGACATCAGTGGTGGATAAGTTGTTGGAGGCATTTCGAAAAGATGGGATTTACATGCATTTGGAGAGGCAAGGACTGATTAGGGATAGTCAGCACAGTTTTGTGTGAGGGAAATCGTGTCTCACAAAATTTTTGAGGAAGTAACCAAAAAGATTGATGATGGCAGAGCAGGAGATGGTGTACACATAGTCTTTAGTAAAGTCTTTGACAAATTTTTGCATGGTAGACTAATTAGTAATTTGCAGATGACACCAAAATTGGTGGTATCGTGAATAGTGAAAAAGGTTATCTAAGATTACAAAGAGATCTTGATCAATTGGGTCAGTGGGCTGAGTAGTGACAGATGGAGTTTAATTTGACTAGTATTGCATTTTGGTAAAACAAACAAGGGCAGTGCTTATATAATCAATGGTAGAATCCTGGTAATGTTGAAGAGAGACCAAGTGGTTGAAATTTGTGTCACAGGTGGACGGGGTGATTAAGGTGTTTAGTACGCTTGCCTTCATTGCTCAGACCTTTGATTATAGGAGTTGGGATGTCATGCTAAGGTTGTGCAGAACGTTGGTAAGGCCTCTTCTGGAGTACAATGTGCAGTTCTGGTCGCCCTGCTATAGAAAAAATATTATTAAGTTGGAGAGGGTTCAGAAAAGATTTACCAGGATGTCGCCGGGAATGGAATGTTTGAGATATAAAAATAGGCTGGGATGTTTTACATTGGAGCGTAGGAGGATGAGGGGTGACCCTACAGAGGTTTATAAAATCAGAGGGGCATAGTTAGGTGAATAGCATGTGTCTTTTCCCTAGGGTGGGGGAGTTCAAAACTAGTGGGCATATTTTTAAGCTTATACAGGTTCTAGAATCCTAAATCAGGGAAAATATTTTTCCTACATCTAATCTATTTAGCCCTGTTAGAATGTTATATGCTTCATTCAGGTCCCTCTCACCTTTCTAAACTCTCGTGGATTCAGGCCCAATCAAACCAATCTCTTCTCAGGACAGTCCTATCATCCCTGGTATCAGCCAAGTGAACCTCTGATGCATTCCCACTATGGTGAGCATATGATTTCTTAGGTAGGGAAACCAAAACTGGTCCAGGTGAGGTCTGACAAAGTCTCTATATAACTGCAGTATGACATCCTTAGTTCTGAACTCAAATCTTCTTGCAATAAGGGACAATATGCCACTTGCCTTCCTAATTGCTTACCACACCTGCCTGCCTGCTTTCATTGACAGATTTACAAAAACACTGAAGTCCATTTGTACATCCACAATTTCCAATTTGGCCTAGATTATTGTTAAAGCAGCTTCCTCCCATGCACCTTGTTTCATCTCCTATCACAAAAAACTTTTATTGATTCACATATTCTGATTGTTTCTGCAGTGGTTGCAAATGAATTCATGTTAAAACTATTTCCAGAAATCAGCTCTCTATTGCATGCCAACCAGTATGTATCAGTGCCAGCCCCAGCTATAAAACAATCCACCAAATTCAAAACTGATGGTTACTGTGGATGGAGAAGGATAATCAAACAGCATTGTGGCCATCTCATGTCTTGTGAGAAAAGCCAAAAGCGAGCAGAAGGACCTATTTCCATTAGCAGAGAGGTCAACACTAAGGAGCATAACTTTAAAGTAGTTGGTGAAAAGAGTATTGAAAATTGAGCAGTATTTCTTTCGTTCAGTGGGTGTTAGCTATCTCAAACATTGTCTGCGAGTGTGTGGTCAAGGCAGAAACATTTATGAAGCACTTGGATATTTTTCACTTGAGGTGCTGTGACCTACAGGGCCCCAGACCAAGAGTTGGAAAGTGGCGAGGATTGCAGAGCTCTTTTTTTTAGCTGTCATGAGCCAAATGAGCTCCTTAAATGTTTTTATGATTTTCAGCTTCCCTTCAAATCCATCTGTGTTAGCCACCTCTATGTAGTGAAGTCCACAGTCCAACCATTCTGGGTAAAGAAATTGTTTATAAATTCCCTATTGGATTGATTGGAGACTATCTCACATTTATAGCCCTCAGTTCTAATTTATCTATAAGTGGAAACATAACAACTTAACCATCTACAGTATATGCTTATATTTCATACTTGGAGTCAGATTGAGCAAACCTTTCTCCTCCTTTAACTTGCTCTTTAAACCCTTTGATCAGGTTTTTGACCATTTGACCTAATATTGCCTTATGTGACTAAATGCCAAATGATGCCCCTGTGAAGCGCCTTGGGATGCTATATTATGTTTAAGATTACATATACATTTAAATAGTTAATATTTTCAACCCGCATGTGCTTTTCCAGCTTCCCTTTAAATGCAGCTATAATATTTGTCTTAACTACTCATTGTGGTGGTGAGATCCTCATTCCAGATACTCTCTAGATAGAGATAGTTCTAATGAATCCCCTAATGGAATTGTATTTTTGGCCCCTAGTTCTAGTCTCACCCACAATGGAAATATTATAACTTAATCAAAACATTTATATATATCTGCAGTTTGGGGGAGGTGATGGCCTTGTGGTGTTGTTGCTGGACTGTTAATCCAGAGACTTAGATAACATTCTGGGGTTTCAGGTTCAAATCTCACCACAGTAGATGGTGGAATTTGAATTCAATAAATATCTGGAATTAGGAATCTAAGATGACCATGAGTCTATTGCCAATTGTCAGAAAAACCCATCTGGTTCACTGATGTCTTTTAGGGAAGGAAAGCTGGTTGTGAGCTTGTTTTTGTTTGAAACATGAATGTAGTTCTTTCAGTTAGGTACTCAAATTTCTCTTTAAACACAACTGGTCTCTACATCCTTACCTGGTCTGGCCTACATGTGACTCTAGACCCACAGCAATGTGGTTGATTCTGAACTGCCCTCTAGGCAATTATGGATGGGCAATAAATGCTGCCCAGCCAGTGACACCCTCATCTTGTGAGTGAATAAAAGGGATTCAAATTACATGGGGCAGCCCCAAATTTGCCCCCAAAACGCCAAGAGAAATCGATCACAGTGAAACTAATTGGAGAAAAGTCATCCTCATGACAGTAGAATGGACAGAGTTGGTGAGGAGCTCCTTGTCAAATCACATGCTATTTCTCTTTCAACTTTGCTGCTGATAGGTTAATGGTGTTGGGTTGCATTTACTAGGTCTTCCATCTGCTGAGAGCTTAGAAGTAGGAAGATTATCTTCCAGTGGGGAAGAGAAGAAAGCTTCAAGGGGAAAGAGGCAAGACGAAGTCTGCAGTATGGAGGAATAGGGAAAGGGATGGGGGAATAAAGGAAGCTCCAAAAGGAGGGGGAAGCAGAAAGAGACCACAACAGCATTCGGGGAGAAATTGGCTTCAGAAGTAGAGATAGAGGCAGCAGAGAGAACAGTTTGAACACTGAATAGAGAAACACTAGCTAAGTGGGAGTCAGGAAATCTTGAAATCAGTGAGATAATTAACTCCTTCCCAATAAATGTGTTGTTTCTAGTTTAAGGCTGCAAAAAAACCCCATAAGTTATTATACAGGGGGAAATATACTGGATGTTATTGACGTGAACGCTAGACCAATTATTAAATTTAACTCTACACTTGAAATTTGAGATACAGTTAAAGATTCAGTAATTATTTTTAAGTTTTATCCAGATGTGATGAAATTCATTAGCTGTGACATCGCCAGTCTGCAGAAACTGTGTTTCGGCAGATTGTTTCTTGTGTGCTGACATGTGTGCCTGTTATTTTGGAAAAAGAATATTTTGTTGCCAACATATGCCTGTAATCTTACACCAATTTTAAAAAAATTGTGGTGTCTATGGAATAAATGCTTTTCTTGTGTGTTGTAGCTTTAGGTTAAATGGAGAGTTGCTTCTAATGTGACTTATTACATTACAAATGCTTCCAATTCTGCTTCCATGTGAATCCAGTGTTCCCTGTGTCAACACAAACACAGAAAGTGTTGTTACTAGGAGACTGCATCACCTAATGAAGGAGTTAGTGAGAACTGGGGGTAAGGTAACCCCTGAAAAGCAAAAGTAGCCCTCAAGAAAATCTCAAGAATGGCCTCAAAAGAACTATTTTATCCCTGATATCAGACTGATAAATACAACCATTAATGAAGTGCAAGGCCTGTTAACCAGGATTGGGATTTCTAATTTTCATGACATATTTTTGATTTGGCTTCATTGAACGTTCAAAAGCCAAAAGATATTATTGACATCAAAAACAAAAACAAAAATTATTGGAAAATCTCAGCAGGTCTGGCAGCATCTGTGGAGAGAAATCAGAGTGAACGTTTTAGGTCCAGTGACCCTTCTTCAGAACTTCTGTTTTGTTTCTGATTTCCAAAATCCGCAGTTGTTGCGGTTTTTGATATGATTATTATGTTGGCTTTTGGCATGATCTGTAAAACATTGCATATTTCATATAAACGGCTTGAAAGGGTTGCCTGATCTTGGGGCAGAAAACTGATTTCTAAAAATAAAATGAAACGGCTTATAATTAATGTAGGAAAATCCTATCACCTAAAGTTAATTGGTATTTATTGCAGGCACATTAGTTACATAAGTGAATGCTAACAATAATGGCCTTTAAGGATTAACTTGCCGCATTTATAAAAAACTAAATGATGACCGTGATTGAGAAAACAAATCTTTGCCAATGATCACCTTTGACCCGGGCTGCAGAACGGGTTTGATAAGTTAACAGCCCATGTGACAGTGTCTCCAGCCCAGGGAACTGGGTGGAGAACTGTCTCCCTGCCTGATACAGGTGAGGACACGGGATCAAAGAACAATCGGAAGAAGAGTGTGTTTCCTGGCTGTCAGCTCGGTGGGTTACCAGGAACTTTCCCTACCCCGTCGATTTTATTTTCAAGACACAAAGAACCAAATAGGACAATGTTCGAGTTTAACTTTTTCCTTTCTTTTGGTTCCTAGCCAATAGTTTTGAAGATGTCCCGCCAGCAAGACAGGGCTGTGTCAAAGAACAAGCCTGACGGCACCGCCTTCACCCAGCAGCGACTACCGGCCTGGCAGCCCTTCCTATCGGCTGGCTATGTCCTCCCCACATTCTTCCTGTTGGGTTTGGTGTTCATTGCAATCGGCCTTGGGCTCTACTTCACCTCCAACAATGTCATCGAAATCGAGGTGAGCGAAATCGGCGGCCTGAAGGCGCCCAGCTCTTCCTCCAGCAAATCCGTATCTTCCTTAATCAAACCCCACTTTGGGAATGTGTACGTGACCTGCTGTACCCTCTCCAAACTGTTGTGCAACGACTACTGAGAAAGGACAGTGAAACGTTGCCACTATAATCCTAACTTTCTGTGGCATTGCTTCCTGGGGAGTAGCTAGTACAAGTACATTGATGTATCTTCAGTTTATAATTAGAACTTTAGGTTTGACTACCCACGTGCTATCTGTGCAGTAAAAAATATCTTTTATTGTAAAACCTACATAATGTACTGATTTGGCTCCACTCTAGACTGGAGGCTTTCTCATATGACAGGTTTGTGTAGTGTCAACATAAATTGTCATTCTTTTTAAGGAGCCCTGGTGAGTCAGTTTGATCTGACCATCTGTCAGATTTCTATCTCCTCGCTTGTTTGTCTTCACCTGATATTTTAAGATTCATTTGATTCTCATCTATTAAAAAAATACTTGAGCTGATTTTTCCCTGTGGCGTTGTGCGTAAGTTCTGTGTAAAGCTACAGTGAATCTCACAAAGAAGAAAATTCTCTCTAATTTGACCATTGGTCTGTGTTAATAGGTTTTAACCAAGGCAGCAGCTGTTGCAATGTAGGTGTCCTTGTATCTTTCTACACTATGCGTAGGGTGACAAAGACTTCAGTTACACTTCCTGCTACAGACTGTTATGCAGTGTCTTATGGAAAATGTGAACAAAGGAAACGTTGAACTTGGGCTGTTGATTCATGGAATGCATCGCAGATGTCAAAAATTGTTGGGTACCATGCTAAAAGCTCTGCTACTCAGATTTTAACTTCCACCATGTCCTGTTCACCTGTTCAGCTTTTTTTTCTAACTACATTGGCTCGTGGCCTAACGAGCCCTTAGGTTCTTTCTTAAAAAAAAAATCATTTTTGGGTTCAGGTTCTTGCATAGCCTCTTTACTCCCAACTCTGTATCCTTCTCCAGCCCAGCACCCTCCAGGAACAGTGTTCCTTCAATTCTGGTCTCTTGTACGTCCCCTATGTCCTTCATCTCACTATTGGTTCTGCATTTTCAGCCTCTGGGTTCAAAGATTTGGAATTCTTTACTTGACCTCTATTTCTCTTCTTTTCTTCTCCTTTTAACGGACTCCTTTAATATCTTCTTCTTTGACAAAGCTTTGTCACCTGTCTAATATCTTCATAGAGTCATAGAATCAAACAGCATGGAAACAGACCCTTCGGTCCAACTAGTCCATACCAATCATGTTCCCAAACTAAACTAGCCTCACCGTCTTCACTTGGCCCATATCCCTCCAAACATTTCCTTTTCACGAACCTTTCAAAATGTCTATTAAATGTTGTAACTGTACTTGCATCCACGACTTTCTCTGGCAGTTCATTCCACTCACGAACTCTGTGTTTTTAAAAAAAAAAAGTTGCCCCTCGTCCTTTGAAATCTTTCTTCTCCTTTAAAAGTATGCCTCCTTGTTTTGAACTCCCCAATCTTAGGGTAAAGGCTCTTGTCAGCTTATCTATGCCCCTTGTGATTTTATGAACCTCAATAAGGCCACCCTTCAACCTCTTATGCTCCAGTGAAAAAAAAGTTCCAGCCTTTTCAGTCTATTTTTAAATCTGAAACCCTCCATTCTCAGCAACATCCTGGTAAATCTTTTCTGAACCGTCTCCAGTTTAATAATGTACTTCCTGTGGCTGAGAGACCAGTGCTCCAGAAGAAGCCTCACCAACATCCTGTACAACCTCAATATGATGTCACAACTCGGGACCAAAGATCTGACCAATGAAGGCAAGCATGCTAAACACCACCTTAACCACCCTATCTACCTGTGATACAAACTTCAAAGAACTATGTATCTGAAACCCCAGGTATCTCTGTTCTACAACACTACCCAGAGCCCCATTATTAATTGTGTAAGTCCTGCCCTTGTTTGTTTTACCAATATGTAATACCTCATGTTTATCCAAATTAAATTCCATCTGCCACTCTTCAGTCCATTAACTCGGTTGATCAAGATCCCTTTGTAATCTTAGATAACCTTCTTCACTGTCCACTATACCATCAATTTTGGTGTCATCTGCAAACTTACTCACGATGCCTGCTATATTGTCACCCAAATCATCTGTGGTTTGTTGTCAGTTTTAATCTGTGCTAATTCTAAGGATGATAAAATAAAGCAAGTTGTTTCTGTAGATGTGGCTATAGGAGAGAAATGCAAAACAGTGCCTAATTTTCTATATTTAGGTGAGCCATGAAGTGGAGGTGCCGGTGTTGTACTGTGCTAGACAAAGTCAGAAATCACACGATGCCCGTTTATAATCCAATAGGTTTATTTGGAATTGCACAAGATTTTGGAGCGCAGCCCCTTCGTCAGATGTAGTGAGAGAGCAAGGCACACAGACACAGAGTTTATAGGCAGAGAGATCAAGGGCAGGGAGATCAAAAGATCATACACCTGGTGAGTAGAGTGTCAGACGATAACTATCTGCAGGTGACCAAGAGTGTTGGACAGTGTATAAAATGTTTGTAAAGTCAGTGGCAGTACTGTGTTATCATGACAATCAGGCACAGCATAGGGATATACGAAAGGTGACATCTCGGCTCAAATGACACTGAATTGTAGGTGTGAGGCTTTGTTCAGAATCTGTCTCAGGGTTGGATGAAATATGCGCGCGCACACAAATCTATGGGGTGAATCATTTCATCCAATTGTTTGTTTAATTGCAGATACATTCTATTTTGTTCAAAAACACAGAATTTGTAGTCACAGTCAGTCAGTATGGCGTCTTATAAATTTCAACTTTCAGAATAAGAGCAGCCTGATTCAAAGTTAAAACTCTGAGACAGGTTCTGAACAAAGCCTCACACCTACAATTCAGTGTCTGATCTGAGATGTCACCTTTTGTGTATTCCTATGGCTCTACCTGATTGTTAGGACAGCACAGCACTGACATTGACTTTGCAAACACTTTACACACCGTCTAACACTCTTGGTCACCTGCAGACAGTTATTGTCTGACATTCCGCTCACCAGTTGTATGATCTTTTGGTCTCCCTGCCCTTGATCTTTCTCCCTGTAAACCCTGTGTGCCTTGCGCTGTCACTGCACCTGATGAAGGGGCTGTGCTCTGAAAGCTTGTGTGATTCCAAATAAACCTGTTGGACTATAACCAGGTGTCATGTGACTTCTGACTATAATTAGGCAAAGATAACTTCAGTGTGCAGAGTACAGGACTGTCCATTGTAAACTGGGAAAATATTTTAATGGGTAAGTTGACAGAGTCATAGAGATCTACAGCACAGAAAAAGGCCCTTCGGCCCATTGACTCTGCACCGGTCAAAAACAGCCACCTAACTATTCTAAACCCATTTTCCAGTACTTGGCCAATAGCTTGTTTTTGCCTTGGCATTGCAAATTTACATCTAAAAATTTGCATGTTATGAGGCTTTGCACCTCTAACACCCTTTACAAGCAGTGAGCTCCAGATTCCCAATAAAATTTTCCTCACATCCCCCATAAACCTCCTGCTCCTTGCCTTAAATCTGGTCACTGATCCCTGCACAAAGGGGAAAAATCTTTTCCTGTCTACTCAGTCTATACCCATTATAATTTTATACACCACAATCATACCACCTACCTCCAAACAAAGTCTCCTCTGCTGTAAGGAAAACAACCCAGTCTATCCAACTAAAACTCTCCAGCCCAGGCAACATCCTGATAAATCTTCTCTGTACCCTCTCCAGTGTAATCACATCCTTCCTATAATATGGATCCAGAATTATACACGATACTTTAGCTGTGGCCTAACTAGCGTTTTACACACTTCCAGCATAACCTTGCCTCTCTTAAACTTTAGGTCTCAACTAATAAATGCAAGTTTCCCAAAAGTCTACAGAACCACTTTACCTATCCTGCCATGTTAAGAGACCAGTGGACTTGCACTGCAAGGCCCTTCTGATTCTCAGTGCTTCCCAGGATTGAACTGTTTGTCATGTATTCCCTGGCTAAGTTTGTCCTGCCTAAGTGCATCATCTTGCGCTTCTCCAGATTGAATTCCATTTGCCACTAACCAGTCCATCTGAGCAACCTAGGATTACCCTCCTGTAATCTAACCCTGTTCTGCTCATTATTTACCACCCCATCAATTTTCGTATCATTCCCAGACTTACTGATCTATCTCTGCATTCAAGTCTAAATCATTTACACTTGCAACAAATAAAAAAGGCCCCAAGACTGATCCTTGCAGAACCCTACTAGACACACAGGCTTCCAGTCATATAAACACTCCATAACCCTCACTCTACGCTTCCTGCCACTCAGTCAATCCTCTATCCAAGAAAATCAGTTGGTAATGGTCAAAAAAAAAATTAAAGTCTTATACAACAAGGTGCAG